TACCCCTGATACGCGTCGGTTACATTCAGATTATCGATATTTCATCGACAACATTTTATTGACAATAGCTTCCATTGTTTGCTAATGCGCTAAAAGTACAATATTCGTGGAGTGACGTACTCACGACTGATGAATAGCAAATATTCTGTTTAATTTTGGATGGGAATAATTTGGCGGAATAATGTTTCAGAGACCCTTGTACCGTGTTAATCGAGGATTAATATTGATATTTGTGTCACATGTATAAATGTATGAATTCATTTATTCAATTTCTTTATTTATACATTCCAGAATGTAACAAAATTGTGTACAAAATTTCTAATATCAATAGAAAGTTATTTTATTGATTTTTACATTTGTTTATTTTAAATAAAAATCTTTAGAGTAATTTAAATAATAATAATCATTTCAGTGTAATTGAAATAAAAATACAATCAGTGAAATAGAAACAAAAATTCGCCCTCCAATATCGAAATAGAAATAGCTACATTCACCCTCAGTAATTGGAATAAAAACAACTTCATCAACAGTGACGGAATCACAAAAATGTTGTCGATGGAATTTTTCCAATAAATCCGAAGTAACCAAAAACGCGTACTGGTTGTCTGTAACCCCCTTTTCCACCACGCTTTTCTATCTCTATTTTCCACTGTTAACTCTCACGAAGGTGTACCGTCTCGAGACCGGATTGAAAAGATCACGAGACCGAAGTGCCATGCTGTGAAATTCTCCGGGCCTTGCCACAACCCTCTTCAACCCCTCAGTGTCTCAGAAAACACCCCTTGTGCCCCTGTTTTCGTCTGATCTATCTTTGTAAATTAGCCCCCGATGTACAGAGAACGAGCACGTTGTTTTACCGTCGAACGGCGGATGGGTCAATCACCCCATAATTATCACGTTTGTTGTGGATTGTAAATATTCTTTACAGCGAACGTGATATTGCAGAAATGGAGAAATAAGTTTTGGAAAAATAATTTAGTATAAGATTTTATTTCACACTTTGAGTAATCTTGCATTGTTTGCGTATATAATTTGAGAGTAAATAGTTATGGGATAAGGGTGACTTATGGACAATTTTGAAGATGCAAAATGACGTAAAGTATGTGGTTGACTTATGGACAATTTTCGGTTCAAAGATGCAATGTTTCGTTGTCAAAGTGTTAAATTGTCTCATCGGTCCGTCGTCCGAGGGTTAATCGTTACACCCTCCCCTTGTCTTTCCTCGTGATAGAGACGTGAAAGTGAAACACGTACACGCGTCTACGGTGTCGATATTGGAAACGATCGAAATTGATTTTGCACCGATTCGCACGCACCACCGACCCTCTGTCAGTGTCCTCTTGTCATGGTGTTCAAATTGGGCCTGTAAATAGCGGAACCTTTCTGGTGGAAGTCTGTTCCTTCTAAACACCATTATTTTACCACCGTAATCTTATAATTATTATTACATAATGGGGTAAATTTTCAAATAATTAGAGAAACATGGAACAGAATTCCAAGGGACCAGAAAAGGGATTGTAGTGGATTTTTTTATTCTTTAATTTTTGTTCTTTCTCTACCCCCTTGTGAACAAAGAGCTGATCGTGACCGGCTCACCAACCTGATTGGCCAGAATGAAATTCACATCCTGTCATATCTGATCCTTTCTTCCCATTTTGTTTCATTTGTACGTGTAACTTGTCTATTTCTATCTACCCTTCTCTCCGTCCCTCTCTATTTCGGATCGTCGTTTTGTCCTTCTCGACGAGAACGAACAAAGTGGAAGCGGTCTTTCAAAGAGAGGGATGAGAGAGAATCCGACAAGTGGCTTCCGGAGGAAGTTTCACCTGGAGAAGCTATTTAAAGACACTAGAAAATCAATTTGCTTGAAAGACTGTTGGAATAAGCGGCCAACCTTTTCGAGGGGTAAAAACCTTCGTGGTAAGATTGTATTGGAACACGATTGAATGGGGAAAAAAGACTCGAACATCGTTCGGTTTTATCTCGAGATCTTAACCCTTTGTCTTGCTATTATAAACTCTACTATCAAATTTTATTTTCATAAAATTGAGGGTTGAAGGATAAAAATTAGATTATCGTAAGGCAAAGGGTTAAAACTACCAGTGTAACTGCCATCGAGTTATTTCACAAATTCAGATAATAAATTCTCGAATAAATTAAATAATAGAAAATCATGGATTTACGATAAAATTTCTTCTGTAGCTTCACATGTTTCGTTTTAACCCTATCTAGGGGTGCTATACGTATACACTGATTTTGTATATTTGTTCACTTCATTTTTGACACTGTTTTGATTCTTATAAAATATATACTAAAATTTGTGGACACACATGTTGTTCAAAATGGGGTAAATTTCAAAATAATTTTTTAGAAAATGAAGAGGTGATTGAAGTTATGTGAGGAAAAATAAGAAGTGGATGCACTGTTCTTTTATGTCAAAGTACCACATGTGAACTATCACATATGAAGTAGTACATATGAACTGCCACATATGAATTAGCACATATGAAGTAGTACATATGAACTAGTACATATGAACTAGTACATATGAAGTAGTACATATGAACTGCCACATATGAATTAGCACATATGAAGTAGTACATATGAACTGCCACATATGAATTAGCACATATGAAGTAGTACATATGAACTGCCACATATGAATTAGCACATATGAAGTAGTACATATGAACTGCCACATATGAATTAGCACATATGAAGTAGTACATATGAACTGCCACATATGAATTAGCACATATGAAGTAGTACATATGAACTGCCACATATGAATTAGCACATATGAAGTAGTACATATGAACTGCCACATATGAATTAGCACATATGAAGTAGTACATATGAACTAGTACATATGAACTATCACATATGAACTACCACGTATGAATTATCACATATGAACCACCACATATGAAATATACAGTATATACTGTACTATGAACTATACTAATAACAACCCTCTTTAACATCAATCAACTAAATAAATTAATCAATAAATTAGTCAAATAAATTTTTCCAGTATAAATGATATCTGAACAAATATACAAATGAACGATGTAGCCAAAACATTTTGTCCACATTTTGTGCATCAGCCTCTATGTAATCCATGCCTCCCCCCATTCTTTGACCATGAACATTTTTCCCATCGATCCATACTCCAATCACCGTTACCTGGCATTGCAGTTAATCAGCAAGCCAATTTACTGTCAATCTCGACTCATCGTGAATGGCCAACTAACTAAATATCTTGTCTGTATTCAGCTGCAAATCTCTGTGTAACTTTTTTCCGCCTGCTTCTGGCACGCAGGACGCATGCTAATCATTCTCGTTCTTTTTTTTCTCGTTCGCCGATCGATAAGCTTAATCGTTTTGCAATGTTTCATGTGTTCGAGCTTTTTGAATGTTGAATGTCTTTGTTGTTTGTGAAGAGAATGAACTAGCACATATGAACTATCACATATGAACTACCACGTATGAATTATCACATATGAACCACCACATATGAAATATACAGTATATACTGTACTATGAACTATACTAATAACAACCCTCTTTAACATCAATCAACTAAATAAATTAATCAATAAATTAGTCAAATAAATTTTTCCAGTATAAATGATATCTGAACAAATATACAAATGAACGATGTAGCCAAAACATTTTGTCCACATTTTGTGCATCAGCCTCTATGTAATCCATGCCTCCCCCCATTCTTTGACCATGAACATTTTTCCCATCGATCCATACTCCAATCACCGTTACCTGGCATTGCAGTTAATCAGCAAGCCAATTTACTGTCAATCTCGACTCATCGTGAATGGCCAACTAACTAAATATCTTGTCTGTATTCAGCTGCAAATCTCTGTGTAACTTTTTTCCGCCTGCTTCTGGCACGCAGGACGCATGCTAATCATTCTCGTTCTTTTTTTTCTCGTTCGCCGATCGATAAGCTTAATCGTTTTGCAATGTTTCATGTGTTCGAGCTTTTTGAATGTTGAATGTCTTTGTTGTTTGTGAAGAGAATATTTGCTGCTTTGTCTGTAGCGTAATTTGTATTTGGAAATAGGGAGAGCCCTATCGAGCACGAGTCCCGTTTTGATGTATTGTAGAACGATTGTCTTTGGGAAACGTTCATTGTGAATTGTTATTGGGATATTTTACTGTTTTGTAATTTATGGAAATTTAGGGAATTTATAAAAATTGTCGAAGGGAATTTATTAAAGTTAGAAATTGGAATTTTTTGAGGTTATGTTTGCAAATTAGTGAAATTGAGATTTGGGTGTTTAACAAAGGTCAAACTTAGAATTTTCTTAAATTGCAATTTGGAATTTTGTAAAATTTAAGCTTAGAATTTTCCTAAATTAAAATTTGGAATTTTCTAAAATTTGATATTAGAATTTTCCTAAATTAAAATTTGGAATTTTCTAAAATTTGATATTAGACTTTCCCTAAATTGAAATTTGGAATTTTCTAAAATTTGATATTAGACTTTTCCAAAATTGAAATTTGGAATTTTATAAAATTTAAGCTTAAAATTTTCCTAAATTATAATTTGGACTTTCCAAAAATTTAAACTCAGAATTTTCTTAAATTAAAATTTGGTATTTTCTAAAATTTAGACTCAGAATTTTCTTAAATTATAATTTGGATTTTCTAAAAATTTAGACTTACAATTTTCCTAAATTATAATTTGAACTTTCCAAAAATTTAAACTTAGAATTTTCTCAAATTAAAATTTGGTATTTTCCAAAATAATAATATTTAAACTAAGAATTTTCCTAAATTGAAATTTGCAATTTTCAAAAATTTAAACTTAGACCTTTCAAAACTTGAAATTTGGAATTGAATAGACAACGTTTCCAACGGATATCGTTTTCTAGTTTCCCTAGTTCTTTCACAGTGAAAGTTCGACGGAAGACTCGCATGATATTAGTTATTTTGAAGATTAAAACACAAAACACTAATTTATACTTCGATCGGTGCAGATCGCGGACTTGAACAGCCAAGTGAACGACCTTCGAGGTAAATTGTAAGTAACTATTTCACATTAATATTATATAAATTTTATTAAACTATATTAAGATTATATTAAACTTAGACCACAATCGTTTACGAAAATTTTGCAACTTTTCCCAAATTTCCTGGTTTCCAAATTCCAAATCCTCGAATTCAAAAATTTTTAATTTATCAAGTTTTTCAAATTTCGAAGGCTTTAAGCTTGTCATATTTCCAAATTCTGAAATCCTCTAATTTGCTATGTTTACAAATTCCAAAATTCTCAAATTTGTAATGTCTTCAAATTTTTAAATTTTTAAATTTTCAAATTTGTCACGTTTCCAATTTTGAAATTGTCAAATTTGTCTCGCCTCCAAATTCTAAAATCTCGAAATTTGTCACGTCCTCAAATTCTAAAATTTTCAAATTTGTCACGTTTCCAATTTTGAAATTATCAAATTTGTCACGTCTCCAAATTCTAAAATCTCGAAATTTGTCACGTCCTCAAATACTAAAATTTTCAAATTTGCCACACCTTCAAATTTTTAATCTTGAAATTTGTCACGTCCCCAAATTCTCCCATTTCCAAATTTTGAAATCTTCCAACTTCTTAAGTCTCCAAATCTTAAAATGCTCCACTTTCTCATATCCCCAATTCTCAAATCCCTTATATCTCCAAACCCCCAACCCCATCATTCAAATGTCTCCAAATGTCCCCAGAATTCCTCAAAAGTCCCTAAAAAACCTTTCTCCCTCTTCCTCCTCCATCATCCCCAGTTCCCTAAAATTTGTTCTCGACTGTACCAGCGCAATGCACCCTTCATACACTTCATAGACATCTCTACACCCCGTACTTAAGACAAAATTTGCAAAATGTTCACTACTTAGAATGCAATGAAAAGATTGAAAGCTCTCGAGCGGATAATAACATTGTTTTAATGCTATCAGCATGAAACCTACGCTGAAGAAGGTCTCAAAGTACGAGAACAAGTTTGCCAAGCTCCAGAAGAAGGCAGCCGAGTTCAACTTCCGTAACCAACTTAAGCAGGTCAAGAAGAAGGAGTTCACCCTTGAAGAGGAGGACAAGGAGGTAAGGATGATCGTTTTCGATCACATCGATCATATTAATTTTTTTTCTCTATATATATTTTTATGTACACGAAGCTTTTTCCTTCCCGTCGATGGTTAGCCCCATTTTGTATTTTTGGGCTTTTTTCGTGGAGATACAAAATTTTGTTTAAAAGTTTGATTTATTATCTTGTAAAATACTTTTTCGCTAGTTTTTCATTTTTTTCACCATACGACGGGTAGGCATGTACTCACGTTTTTTTACAGCCATTGAGAAAGACGTTTTTGTGGCTCTGGTTTTCTTTTTTCCGTGTATTATACCCCACTGGCAGGTTTTTTCCTTGTATTAGTAGTTTCTTCGTGTTGGCTACCTTCTATGGAGATCGTTAACCTAACCTCTTCAGAAATGAGTTTTAAAGGTTAGGACTTTTGGAGGTTAATTTTTTCGCTATGTTTTAGTTGGTTTAATTGTGTAGCATTGTACAAATCAATTTTTAAAGAATTTATAATAATAACAGTCCACATGTGTTCAAATAAAATGTCCACATATGTTCAAATGTGGAAAAATGTCTATATATGTTCAGAT